AACTACCATTACTTAACTGATTCCCTGTTAAATGTTAATATATGTTGCATGACTACACAGCCATGTAATTAAGCTAATATCTGCGATCCAATTTGAGCTCAGATCCGATAGAAACAAATTAATTATAAATCTTAACAATCTGAACGGATCCCCCATTCCTAATTTTTGTTTTCATGCTGAATTTTTAGTGCTTTATTTAAATTGATCTTTTTTATGGTAGTGCAAGTTAACCACAGTAATCAGGTGTAGAAGTTTGAATATTTGGTTGATTTTCTGTATTCCACATGATGTTTAAATTATACATACTCCTCCGTGATTCCACCCATCGTGGGGCTAAACACTGTGGCAGGCACACAGCATGCTGCCACTGCCGTGCTTTAAAGCAGCTGAAATGTTCTTGGCTTTAAAATCTCCATCCTGATGTTTGCAAACATGCATCCTGTCACTGCAGCTAAAAAGTTCAGTTTGGTTATAAAATGAGCATTTAGAAACCTGTAAACGACTTCTAAAGGCATGTTGGTTCCTCTGCAGCGTTCTCCAAATATTAGGACTGTTTGTGGGTCTGTAAAGGTTTCAAATGTAAAAAGTATCTTGAGTGTATAAAAACCTAAGATAGAAAGTTCCTTAATGAGGGTTTGTTTGATGTTTTTCCCCACAGCGTCTTCAGACAACCTGGCCCGGCTGTGGTGTGTGGAGACCGGCGAGATCAAGAGGGAGTACAGCGGCCACCAGAAAGCCGTGGTGTGTCTGGCCTTCAACGACAGCGTGCTGGGCTGAGGAGGAAGAGGATGATTTGAAGGTTTCCATGAAGGAAACGGTGTTTCCGCCTGCAGCAGGACGAGGTGCAAACGTTCCAAGCTCAGCCAAGTCAGTCAGCTGCGCAGGAAGCATTTTACCGAGGAGCATTAGATTAAAAGGGGCTGAATACACACAACCTTTAGATGCTTTTGTAAAAAATTTGAAACTATTTATCATTTTATTTTACAGTTAAGTCCAAGATAGTAAATTAAAGTCTGTCTCTAAGGTAATAAAATGTTGAACATTGGAATTAATTTCCTGTTCTTTATGTGCAGCTAAGATCTAATAACTCTGTACTGCTCATTCAGTTATAAATGCTGTAAAATAATTTTAATCCTCTATAAGACTCTTATTTGTTATTAAAAAAAATCTCAAACAAATACCAGCAGTGCGTGTTTTATTAGCCAAGTAAAACATTTCTACAACAATGATTGTAAATATTTACGTTCCAGTCGTGATTAAAAAGAAAAGAGGCTTTTTGTCTTGAGTTTTCAGATTGTGCCAGCAGAGGGCGTAGTAGACATGAAACGGGGTGATGAGAGTTTAAAGACAACCAGGACTGCCTCCCATGTTTTCTGTCTCTGAAAGGATGGAATTCATTGGTTGGCAGCTTCACTAGTTTATGATGATGGAGGAACCCCCCCACCCCACCATGCTGGTGAATGAGGGACCTCTGAGGTCACTCTGGCAGGTAGTAGAAGCACACGGACACACAGATGTTGCTGGGGAAGCAGATGTCGATGCAGAAGTAAACCAATCTCTGTTTGCCTGGACCTGGATAACACACACACACACCACAGGGTTAAAAACATAAACTGGACTGTTTTATCGCAGGCTTTGGAAAGCATACTCAATCCATTGCTGAGTTTGAATTCAGGGGCCGGTCATAGCACGGCAGCGAAGCCTGTTCGGATTGGAAGGTTCCTCGTTATGTGGGCGACAAATGCAGCCTTCTCCTTTAAAGGACAGGTTCGGTTTATCCTACCTAGCCTTGGGTATCCCAGGATTCATTGCGAGACCAAGCAAGAACGTAAATGGTACCGAACAGTGATGAATATTGGAAGTGCAGTTTAATATAATACAGTATGTGAAAGATTCTGTCTGAAATTATGAAAATAGTTGTTTTAAATGGTTATTGGCTCTGTTTGAATTTATGGGCTATGTCTTCAAAGGATGCTGTCTACCTGGACTAGATCCTTCGAAGTCCGTGAAAATAAGGAGACCGGAAGAGCTTTGGCTGTGAATTCAAACAGGTCTTCAGTTTCCAAACTGTTTCTTTTTTTATTTATTTTTTATTTTATTATTTATTTTTTATTGTAAAGTGAACAAGAGACTACACTCAGGAAAATCCAGAGTGGAATAAAGGTGACAACCACCAGGAGCGTGAACAAATAGAAACCTTAGTCAGTTAAATAACATGCTGCTGCTATTTTCAAATATCCATTACTGATAAAATGTCCATAACTGCATGATGTTATTTATTCTCCAGGTGAACAGTTTTATATTGTTAAAACACTTTACAGTACAGAATTTTATTGTTTATATTTCAACTCTACACTACTACGTTATTCTTACACATTTATGTGACCATTTTTTTTTCAATAATCTTAATGCTGCTGTAAATTTGCCCATTGTGGGACAATACAGAGATTTTCTATTCTATAAAAGGGGTAGAAAGATATAAGTAAATCTAAACAATGTATGAATAAAAATATATCTGCAAAATCTCTTATATTAAACAACAACAAATAGTTAAGCAAATTTGGCAAAATATTAAAAAAAAAAAAATCCTATCAGATTTATAGTGCCCACACTGCAGATATATTAGAAACTGTCCTTAAATTACAGCCAAGCCCATTTACATTTACACAGTAACAGATAAAAACCTTTAGATAACAACTATTTTCATTCATTTCAGACGGAACTATTCACATACTTGTATTAGAATAAACTTTACTTCCAATATTCACCACTGTCCGGCGCCAAGTAACCTTTCCTCTGATCACGGAGTAGCCGGCTTGCTTGGTCTTGCAATGAATCCTGGGATACCCAAGGATAGAGAGGATACATCGGACCCGTCCTTCAAATCGGGCAAAAAGAAGGATGCATTTGTAGGACACATAATGAGCTTGGAACCCGACCAGACCTCTGCACCAGGTAGACCGGGTCCTTGGAGGATGCAGCCTCTGAAACCGAACACACCTCATATGATGGTGCTTTATCTCCATTTTCCTTAAAATCAGACGACGTTTCGCCTTCATGAGGTTAGAAAGTACCTCCAACATGTTGGCTTCTGCTAGTTGAGCAAACAGGGATGAAAGCGTCCTCTCATCCAGCTGAAAGGTCAGAGTATGTCGTGGTTTGGACTTGTGTTTCAGCTCCGATTTCTCCTCTGAAAGCTTGTTGAAAAGCCTCCCTACAGACTGACCCTCATAGAGGAAAGCCGCTGGTCGGTGCTAATATTAAAGTTTATTTATCCCAGCTTGTTTCAGTACAGTGGTTTCCAAACTGGGGCTCACCAGATGTCATCACTGAGGTATATGATGGGCAAAAATATATAATAAAATGCATAATAAATTAAATAAGGGCTGCAAATATTTATTTAACTAATACATAATTCAAACATTTTATAGAATTTTAACTTGAACATTGCAAAACATTTATTTAAAAATGAATATAATTGCTTCACTTTAGATTTTTTTTAGGATGATAATATATATAAAGATATAAAAAAAAGATTTAAATGTATCTTTAATCTGCTGCATTGTTATTTTGTGAGTCACAGATTAAAATGTTTGGGAACCTCTGATTTAGTAGCCCGGCAGTCAACACCTGTACAAGTGTGTTAATGGAAAATTGTGTGGAAGGAAAAAGTGTTATTCTAGAATCGAATAGTTGCCCCTACCCGAATTATTTTCATAATTATGTACAAAAAGCTCTCACCGTCTGTCCTCCGTGTCCAGTGGACAGATCTGTCCCGACACAGAGTCCCAAGAGGCTCCTCTAACGCCGACTCGTTCACCTGACTGGCGGACAGCACTCCCAGGAACTCCGTCCTCCTCTGCGTCTCGTTCCCAGACAGCTGAACGTTTCTCTGCCAAGAAGAGAATCGCCGTTTCAAACATCTACAACCATCAACTGCTGTGGCAAATAAAAACCCCACAGAAACTCTAGCTGCACTAAATCTATTTGTCACAAAGACTGTGTGTAATGACAGCCATTACTGCTCTAATCAGCTCCAATAGAAAACATCAGCTCCTGTTACAGCTCCCTTCTCCTCAACGGTAGAAAGTGAAAAATAAGCAGCACAAAACAGAGCTGCTATCTCAGACAGATTAAATAACAATAACCAATACGCAGCTTTTGAAGGAAGGAAATGGAGCACCGAGACGATAAGGAACCTGGTCTCTAATTAACCGCTCTCAGGTCCTCAAAATGTGGTTTAAAGATCAGATAAATGAGCATGAATCATATTCACAAACAGACTGATTTCAGAACAGAGTGGGAGTTTAAATCAGCATCAGAGATCAAGCTCTGGGACCAACAGCAGAAACATTCAGAGTCTTTGAATCCAAAGAGAGGCGTCACACAGAGTGACCATTGTGCCCTGGTCAAGTTTGCTGCTGTAGCCTCCTGTAAAAAGATCCCGAGCACGCCGAGGGGGCTGGAAGGATCAGATGTGCTGAGGAATTCAGTCACGGAGGCCACAGAGGGAGAATAAAGGCACCTTAAGGCCCGGTTTGCTCCTCTGCTCATGCACCTTTTCAGGTTTAGGGTTGAAGACTGTAACTTTAACACCTTTTACCGCCAGAGATGTTCTGCTACCTTGTGTTGTGATTGATTGAGAAAGGCGCCCACATGGTCGTAGTCCGACCGCTCCATTGTTTGGAGGAAACAGGTGTTCTGGTCCAAAGGTTTGTAGCAAATCAAACCCTGCAACAACAGCAGCAGAAACGTCTCTCAACGTCCTCATCAGAAGTTTTATTATTCTGAATGTTTCTCACGTACGTGTTTGACATCAAATAGCACCGTGGACGTCCGGTTTCCTGATGAGGTGACGGAAAACGTCACCAGGCGGTTCTGCAGGTCCACAACAGCCGACTGGTTGAGTTGATCTGGTGAGGTGATTCTCACGCCCTGCAGAGACTGGTGCGGTAGAAATGGGCGGATTTAGAGGAACACCTGAGCGGGATTGCAGCGGACGAGGTCCGAGTACAATACCTTGGAGCGGGGCCCCGTCAGCGCAAGGTGGCCGGCCAGTCCGAGAGCCACAGTGACCAGGAGCAGGAGTGCTGAGAGACTAATCCAGAAGGCTTTGTGTGGGAAGTGAGACGAATCCAAACCTCCACCCTGAGAAGATGTTTTCATGCATAAGAAACTGCAATGCACTTTAACAAAAAGTATCCACACCCTTCATGAAATAAAAAGGAACATGTCCCTGTGAAGCTGGATAGACATTATTCAAACGGAATGAAAACTGCAGAGCAACCAAGATATGAATGACCATCTAGTCTGACAGGGAGGAGAAGAAACACAGTTCAGGTGGGAATTCATCACTAAAGCTTTAAACACGGTGGTGGTAGCATCATGCTGTGGGACATAGGAGAGCAGTCGGAGATAGGATAAAGCTAAACCAAGAAATGAAAAAGAGAAAATTTGAGATTGGGATGGATGTTTACCTTCCAGGGGTCAGAACGGCCTAGTTAAAGTCTGCACTTAAACCTAACTAAGAATCTGCATTTAGACCTGAAATGAGGTTCAAATAATTTTACCTTCCAGTCCATCTCAACCTGAGCTAATCTATGTTGAGAAATGGGAAAAGGTTTCAAGTTGTTGATGATCAAAGCTGCTAGAGAAGAACCCCAGAAGACCGGAGATAGAGGCGGTACTACAGGAAAAGATAGAAATACACACATCACAACAATATGAAAAAAGTTGAGGGGAGATTTAGGTTTTGGTCCCTATTCTAGTAAAAATGTACGGATCTTGAATAGTTCTGCTTGTGGATGAGGAGCAGGTTCTTACCGAGCACCGTCCTTCTGAATGCTTCCAGCACTTCACCATCCTGTAACCCTTGATGGCTCCTCACTCTGTCGGCTTCCTTCTCGTCTCTATCAGCATGAATTCAGAGTCATGACCAGCTCTGACTGAGGCTCAGTCCACCTGCTCACCTCCCCCTCCTTCCTCTGGTCCCAGCACTTCCCTCCCAACTCACACCTGACCCCCCCCAAAAAAACCCAAACTCCTTTTTTTGTTGTGGGCATTATCCTTTTCACCCTCCGCCTGGCACTGCATGCTGTGCCTCTTTAATCCGATCCATCCTTCCAGAGCTCATACTTTAAAACACCGGAAAGCGGCTGCTCTGCTCTGCGCAGACAATGGACAAAGAAGTGAGGCAGGCGCAGCGAGGAAAGCTTCAGTCACCGGGCGACAGACGATCCGGCGTCTCGGACAGCCGCCGCTGACAGCACAAGGTGACTTTCACCCTTTAAAGTTGAAACCACAGACAAGAAGCGGCTGGTTTTTGTGAAAATAGATGAATTTATTGAGGATTTCGATCAAAGCACTTTTTAAATCTAATTTAAATACAAACCATTTGATGCAAAACATGGATTTTTACAACCTTTGCATAAGACATTAAATCCAAGTAAATATCATGAGATTTGTTCTAAAAAGATCTCAGAGCAAAGACAAGAAGTGCTGCAGTTTAACATGGAGTTGCTTAAGAGGAGATTACACCACTGACAATAGAGGCAGAACAAGTGCTTCCTTAAATATGCATCAGGCTGTTAACACTCAAACAATACTGCATACAATCGCTCTCCTAAAAAGAACGAATTAGTCACATATATTAAATAAAATCTGGATTTCTTTTGCCACAAAAAATATCTTTTTGGACGTGATTTAATCAGACTAAATACAAGATTCTCTTTTATAGAGGCTGGACCCAGACAAATGATCCCTCAGTCTCATCCCTGCAGAGCTGGAAGGAGGTCTGCAATGCTCTCCACATAATAATCTGGCACCATCCCCTGCCTCTCCGCACAGCCGCTCTCCTGATGCTTCTGGGCCTCGGCCACGGTGCTGACCCCCGTCAGGGTCAGCAGGGTCTTCAGGCCACAGTTGGAGCCCAGCATGATGTCGGTATCAAGGCGGTCCCCGACCATCAGGCATCGCTCCCGCTCCACGCCGAACTGAGCGGCCAAGCAGTCGAACATGAAGTGGTTGGGTTTGCCCACCGTCTGGGCCTGACGCTGGGCGGCCGTCTCCACAGCCTGCAGCAGGCAGCCTGTACCTGAAGAGGTAGAGAGGGAGGGCAGATGTCACTTCCTGTATAAAGACGCAGATAACCGTGTCATCAGAGCTAATCTGTCCCCTGGTGAACCAGAGAGGACATCTTTGGGAATGATCAGCCTCAGCTCTCCAATTTGGTCTCAGATCGATTCATGTGGCGCTTCCTCTACACACCTTCAGCACATCCAGTGTTAGGACATCAAAACATCTAAAACTGTATGATCTTTTTTACAAAATCAAACCAGATGAAACTAAAACTTTTCCACCTGAGGAGTTCTGGGTAGAGCATATATTTTTTTTTTAACTTAAATGCAAAATATTTATAGATTTTTAACTATTTTAGGTATAATTGCTGCTCTAAGTGGGTCGCTCTATCAGTAAAGGCATGTTTTAGAGCAGGGCTGCTCAAGTCCAGTCCTCTAGAGCTACTATCCTGTAACTTTTAGATGCATCTCTTCTCAAACACACCTGAATCAAAAGGCTTAACCCCTTCATTTAGCCCAGCAGAAGCAGAGGCATGGAAACAAGCCACTCCTTTGAATAAAAATGGTGTGCATCAAAAAGTTGCAGGATAGTAGCTCATGAGGACTGGACTTGAGCACCCCTGTTTTATAGTCTCTATGCTCCAGATAACGATTAATCGATCAACATATTAGCTGACGATTATTTCAAAAATCGATTAATCACAATAAATCTGATTGTTTCAGCTCTAGTGCAAAACACAATTTTGTGAGAGCTAATCAGAATTCTATGAGTAAGAATAACATATCTATAACTACCAAATGCAAATTTACGTGTACGTATCACAGATTTATGAGTATCAGATTTAAAAACTGTTTTTCTGCAGCCGTTATGTTAACAGTCAGGTTATCAGCATGATTCCGTTGTATTTTTAATTGTTTCAGCTTCACCAGAATCTGGGCTGAAATGCGCTGAGAAGGAAGACCAGATGTTAGTCAAAAGAACATTACATTCATAAAAAAAAAAAAAAAAGCGTATCTGCCTGATTTTTAGCATAACCATTTTTTTAGCATAGCTTCTCATTACATTTAAGAGCCCTGCTAGTACCAGTAAACATTTACAAGTACAAATCACATGAACGAGTACATGTGATTTGTTTTCACGCATTTGTGAATTTATTCTTTGTATCGCCGCAAAGCTGCAACTTTCAAACTAACATTAACATTTGAATCAGAGGAAGATCTGAAGTCATGTATCTGTTAGTTGGCGACAATAAAACAAATAGAAATCCTATTTTAATCTACAAATTCAGACACATACATTTTTATTGGCAGTTATCTGCCCCCATACTTCTGTCCTACTGGGGTAACTTTACTGTATGGAGAAAACAAAACAACAGAAAAACTGCTGACTCATTCAGAAGGATAAGAATTCATGTAGTAAGAGTTGATCTGTCCACATTCATTTTGTAATCTGTATTTATTTGCTTTATTTATTTGAATACCTGTGCATATCCATGATTTCATTGCCCTGATTCATTAATATTCAATACTAAAATCAGACGTTATGAGCAGTTATATATATATATATATATATATATATACACTCTAGTCACTTTATGGATAAATCTTTTTTTAACTTGAGTATGAAGACATGCAGTAAAGCTTCTAGTACCAAAGTAGATAATCTGCCCACATCTGGATCCATGAGATGAGCTGATGCTGGACATGCTGCAATAGCTGAACAAGGTTCTGCTCATTTATTAACCTTTTCCAACAAACTTTTTAGGCTTCAGAGCAAAGAATTGAGGCAGATTTTTACTGTACATAAATTAGCTTCTGTGTTATGTTCTTATGTTTTTCCTCAGGTGTGCAGCTGCATAAAATGTCCATAATGTTTCCCATGACCGCTTGGATGGATTCAGCTGGCTATAACACTGATGCTCCTCTGTAGGGAAGCACAATGATGGATGTTTGACAGATTTCTAATAATCTACAAGCCAGCTGGATGATAGCTGATATATTTTCTTTCCTAGATTATATGCAGCATATCTTCTCATGCATCATTTGGGTGCATGTAATTCACTGATCCTGCAGGAACAACCATGACTTATTTGCCTCTCATATTGGTCAGTTATACAGGGGTAATGTCTGATATTTAGTTTATCATGTCTCTACTCCTGAGCAATAATAGTTTGCAATAAAATGTATTTTATGGCCTTTAATGTCCACATATGTGGACCTGGATCCAGATCCTAAACAGATTTGTGATTGATTGCTAGTGATTAATTAAAAAAGTCCTGTTTTCTTTATACAGTGACAGTAGATAGGTGAGTTTAGCTCTACCTGGGACAGCCTTCCCCCCCTCCAGAGGCAGCCTGGTGTCCCTGTTGGTTCCTACAAACAGGCAGTCCTTCTGGAGCAGGTACTGCAGGGCTCGGTTCAGCTTCGTGTAGCTGAAGTGTTCGTCGAAACCGACCACCACCGCCTTCACGTCAGGGTCCAGAGGCACGTTGGCCCAGTCGATCGGCTTCCCGGACACGTGATCGGGTCCCACGCCGGTCTGCTGGATGCCCACGGCCTCCAGCTCATGCCTCATGGCCGGGCTCCCCACCAGGTAGACCTTCCCCTCCAGCTTGCAGATGGTCTTCAGGTACGCGGCGCAGCAGTAGGCTGTCCCGAACACCTCGTTCTCTGTCACGTTGAAGCCCATGGCGGACATCTTCTCCGCGTACATCTTCCTGGTCTTGGTGCTGTTGTTAGTGACGAAGAAGACCTTTTTACCGCGCTCCTTCAGCAGGTTTATGACCTGAGAGGCCCCGGGGATGGCTTGGTCCCCCCGCCAGATAACCCCATCACAGTCGAAGAGGACGGTGTCCACGGACTCCAGCAGCTGCTTCACGAGCGGCCCAGCCAGCCGCGTGCACTTAGAGCCGGACATTAGGCAGCTCTGGAGGTGTTAAGACCGACAACCCCGGCGGTTAATATAGCATTCCCCGATTAAAACGCACCAAACTGACGTGAGGTAGACGGTGTGTCACCATACGCGACCCACGTCACGTTTAGTTATATTTACTGTGGAAATTCACCGGACTGACCTTTTGCCGTCTCCAGCGGATACACTTCCGCACCGGCTTAAAGGGACAGTAACCCAATTTAATAGGGCCCGCCTACCTGCGGAAGAACTGTCACTCAGAGCTATCGATTCCTTCAGTGATCGATTTTTTTTAAATCTAAAAATAAAAGCTTTCAGTAAATTAGGTTTTCTAAATAAACAAACTTGTGCAACGTAGAAAAAGAAATGTATATGGATTGTAAATGGCAAAAACATGTAAAAAAAAAAATGTATACATGTATTACATATAATAGTTTTATTATTAAATGGGAAATGTTTACAGTTTTGTAACTGTCTTAATTGCAGCTCTAAATTGTTTTAGAGTGTTTGTATCGTCACTGTAGGTAACAATTTGATTTGATTACCAAATTAGTTGAGGATTACTTTATCAATTAAGTTCCAATTATATTGTTTTAGATGTAATTATTAATAGTAATAGGTAAAAGTCTTGTTTTGTATTTAGCTGATTTGGTCAGAATTGTTTATTGTTCCATAGGCTTGGAAAAGTTTTCACACCTCAGAGTGATGCAAACTATTTTGTTTGTGAAGTATAAAGAATTTGATGGTTTGCAGTTTTCTTCACTAAGTAAAAATCTGAAAGGTGGAGAATACATTTTATTCTTAAAAGCAGTACTTTATAGAACCTCTATTGAAAATAAGTAGCAGTTTGAGGGTATCTTTCCACAAGCTTCTTTAGAATGTATGAACAGCCCATTCTAAAGTCATGATTGTGACTGGGCCAGCCCTAACACCCCACTCTGCTTATATAAACGCCATCCCTTGTACCTATGGCTGTATATAATTTTCTTCCTGCTAAGAACCTCTGTTCTAACAGGTTTACGTCATACATCACTCTGCGAATCATCTCCTGGACTCTAATAATAATCTTCAATTAGTTCCAAAGTTAGTAATTCACCAAACACAGCCTTTGTATGTAAACCAAACAGCTCATATTTGGTTCCACCTGATTAAAGGGCCTCCCTAGACATGTCTCCTGTAACTGCTACAGAGGTTTTGGGATCCTCTAAAGAAGTTTAATCCTATAATTTTTTGCCCTGTAAGTACAGAACAACGAAATTAACTCTCTGCATTTAAACCATCCCCTTGGGGAGTAGTGGGCTGCTATTGTGCGGTGCCTGGGGATCAATGCGGGGCTAAGGGTCTTACTGCGACCCAGTAGCAGTCTGTGGGAGTGGGCCTTTAACTCAGAACCTCAGGACTCAAAGCGTAATGCCCTAACCTCTAGGCCGCCACTCCCCTCGATCATCTTGCTACATGGGCTAAAAAAGTTAAAACAAGGCACTCGTCAGCCACAAAAAAATGAAGTTAAACTTAGAGGAAAAAAAAGGCAATTGTTTTACTTTTAACTTGAACAAAGTTATCACAATATTTTAAACTAAAGTAATGAAAAATAAACGAGTCCAAATTAATATCAGATCTGAAAATGACTTAATCTAAAACATAGAAAGTGATATGAATTGTAAAATTGTGAAAAGAAACATACTCTTTTCTTTTGGGATGGTCGGTTTCTCTCTGCACAAAGAACAGGATACAGGTACCCCTTTGAAAAAATTAGTTCTTTAAGACAAATTAACTTAATGGCTACTTTTAAGAAAACACACCTGGATTACTATAAATTTAAAACTAAAGAATCTGTTATTCTATTTATTTTTGTAATTTTTTAGTATCAGACTGGTATCTATCTGACTGGCCAGGCTAGACCTGCCCTGTCGATGAGCGAAATCACACATAAATGGACAAACATGGAACAGACTAAATGACGGCTGTGTAGAAGATGACCAGCTGTAGTGGGAAATTAGAACTATGAACATTAATCAGTAAAATACCATTTAAAAAAACAAAGCAAAAGCACAACAACATATATAAAAAAGTGACATTTATTTTGGTTATTTGATTCTCAGAGGCACAAATTTTCAGCTGCCGGGTTATTAATAAAAATACAGCTTGGTAAAGTTGCAGGAATCAGTTAAGATACAGAACATAGTGAGAGTTTTCCCTCTCAGCTCTAGTAGTGTTGGTAATAGCTGTGAATGTCAAACCAAAGGCAGGGTCGTTCAGTTACCCTTCTTCTGGGTGGCCTGCAGAGGGAAGAAAATCTCTCCCAGGTTTCCAAGCAGCCCTCGGCTGTAGTAGTACCTCTTAGAATGATCTGGGACGGGGCCACAAAGGTCATCGGCTGTCGGCGTTGGATGGCAGTGCCGACAAACCAGGCCCCGACTTTTGTACCACTCATTGGAGGTTTGGTTGACAAGAGCCAGGAAGGAATGAAACAAGGTGTAACCAGCAAGGAGGAAGAAGACGAAGATCACGAAACCCAGCATGAAGACAATGCGGGGAAAAGTCAGAAACAGGTGCTGGGGAGGCATAAAAATAATTTTTAATCAAAGGGTCAGTAATGAGTAAAAAATGGAGAGCAGCAATATGTGTGAAACATAGAATATGTGCTTACCTGAACAACAAACAGTGGTCCAGCCGGCTGCTGCTGGCCAGACTCGTCGATGTAACTGGCTCTTAGAAGCCCTGAACGCAGCACAGCATGAAGCAGCATGTCTCCTGTTAGAAGGGCGATGTCCAGGGCCATGGCGCACACGCTGAGCAGGTAGAGCAGGAAGTAACGGGTGTTCCCAGCTCCGACGCAGTTGTTCACCCAGACGCAGTGGTGGTCAAAGCGCATTACACACCTGTTGCACACTCCTGAAATAAGAAGTTCTGGTTCAGTCTAAAGCAGGGGTTAGGTTCTAGAACAATTTACTAAATCTCTGTTCAGGCCCCCAAAAAATAGGGATTATTGACGTGTAAAAAAATAAAATAAAATCCTAGAAATAAATGTTTAAAATGAATGTACAGATAAAAGTTCTGTCTATGTAGATAGCTGGTAAATCAAACCCCACTTAAACAAGTCATTTACTTTGTTTAAATAAATAAATAAAGATCACATGTGCTACTGTTGTTTCACAGATATTAAAGATAATCTTTTATGTCACCCAGAGTTCATTAAGCTAAGAATTGAATCAAAATTATCTAGCCTTTTTTTTTTTAAGTGCTACTTCATTTGTGTAAGTAAAACCATCGCTTGTGCTGATTTAGTTTTTAAGAGGGAATACTTTTTTTTATTACGGCCGATGACATCACCATCCCAGCAGACTTTAGTACTGTGTTCGTTTCTTGACATAAAGTTATTGCCCAACATCATGTCATCCCTGTGCTCACATAGAACATAACAGTGGGCATGTTTACCTTATTTAGTGGCTCGAATGATTGTTTAATATTTAGTTAATCACCATCCTCCCATTTCCTCTGCTTTGGACCTATACCATTACCCCTGGCAACCCAATGTCATATGCTGTCTGTTGACATTTCACAATAAAAGCACAGGTGAAACTTAACATCACTGACTAATGCTAAATAGTTCCTCATAAAAAAAAAATCTAAAAAAACTTTTGAATTTTCATTTTTTGGTAAAGCCCTAAAAGCTCTGAAAAAAAAAATGAAAATAAAAAGTCCATTTAGGTTGTTCCAGACGCAGCTCTGATTCAGTCGGATTTGACAGGAATCCACCTGATCAGAAAGCACCAATGTTGGGCAGTGTGCAGAGACAGACCGGGCTCTGTGCTGGAGGTAAGGGAGGATGAGCAGGGCTTCTAGGACTAAATTAACACGGCCTTTTTTTAAAGCCACCCAAAGACCTCTTGACAGCATTCCTTATTTCTACCTCCTTTAACCTTATTTTCTCTGTATTCAATTTAAACTGAAAGAAGCTTAGCCTACATCCAGTCTCTAATTGCCGTGTCGCGATTTCATAGAACCGTTCAGCTCATTTCAACTTCAGCGATCACCGCTCCTCTCTCTCCATGCGGTGCTGCTGTTTGACAAGACCTCAGCTCTATCTAGTAGGGACAGACTCCTTCTTTATAGGGATTCTACCTTAATCCATGGATCTGCTACAGCTAATGCACCAGTGTGAATGCACTATTACATATATTTTTGTAAGTTACTACATAAAGAAGGCTGGACTCACTGCAATGTTTGGAACGGGCTGGTTTGACAAGTTGGCATGTTTCACAGGAGACTCCAGGGTGAAACAATCTCCTGTCATATGGATAGATGTGAATCAAGCTGGAGACTTTTCTCTTTGTCACCGTGCCTGATGGGTGGAGAGGAGAGTGTTAAGACTGCAACACAGCATCAATCAATAAAAAAATACATAAAACTACATTTCTCCTTCCAGAAGCAAAATTACATTATTTATTGTTTTTCTAAAACAGATTTAAATGTTCAAGGTTTATTTTCATAACTTGGCAATGAGACAGATGTGAACCTGGATCTGTTTTGATGCAGAGGTAGAAGAAGAAGGTCTTGATGACCAGTAGAAGGTAAGGCACCAACAAACTTGTCAAACTGGTGTCCATCTCCCGGCAGAAGCCAAACACCTCATAGGTGAACTCTGCATACACAGAGCCTTCTAGTAAGATATGCAGATATATGAAAATGTTGCTCCTGAAATGAACAGAATGAAAAATGAAACAGGGCGAAAACAAGATGATAAACAAAACTGATCACAATTCAAAAACAAACCTTTGATGAAACAGTTTGTGGAAAATCCAGTGTGAAAACCTCTGAAGCCACTGAGGAGTGAAAGGGGCCACTACCTATGGAAAACAGATGTACCTGAATGCAGCACATGTTGTCCAACAGCGCCACCAAGTGTTGGTTTGAGGGACTGACAAAGTGAACATAACTTACCTGTGTAACATAACTCAGCAGGGCGTTAAAGGGGTTGTTTTGTTGGCCCGAGTATTTGCACACTAGGAATATACAGGTTAGCACCACCGCCACGTAAATCCCAAACAAGGTGAGGAAATCCATCATCCCCTCCTGGCAGCAATAACAAGAGGAAACCAACAGGTGAATTAAATGAGTCCCGAAACCGGCGACGGAGCAAACATACAGTCTAGCTTACTGTTGTTTCAGTCTATAAACGTCTCTGTAAAAATTCATAACAATTAAA